TATATATATATATATATATATATATATATATATATATATATATATAACTGGAGTTTAATCATATAGACAATAGAGAATCACAGGAACATAGAGTCGGGCAAGATCTTGAATTTTATTTTTGAATTTAATAAAAGAAGTTCAATAAATCATTTCTAAACTCTTAAAAAATTAAACATACATATAATATAAAAACGAACGAAAGAGGAGAGAATAAAATGGAGGAAGATGGAGAAGAAAGAGAAAGAGGGAGGAAGAGGGAGAATAATTAAATATGAATGCGAAGTTAGCAATACCCTTTCAAAGAGACCACTTCGAACGTAATAATCTGCTAGAGAATTCCATAAAGGTCCTAACTGATCTGTATACCGTCTCAAACCGCCTCTAATAATGGCATCTACATTTAGAGATTTTATCTTGGAAGGATTTTTTGATATCAAATCGCATAATTCATTCCATAATTGATGATTAGACTTTCCATGCTTTGATACAAAATCATCCTGGTTGACAATTTGTGCAAGTTTCACAGCAGCTTCATCAAGTCTTCCAATTGATATCAAATATTCTATATATTCCTCTGTATCTTCCGGTGCTAGCTGTATACATATACATATTCATACATACACACACACACAACACACACGCGCGCGCGCGCGTTCTAAATTATATATACAAACATAGAATAAAATATATATGCATGCATGCGCGCGCGTATATCTCAGAGATGCAAGGAACAATGTAAAAATAATATATACAGGCTATCCCACAAAGGTTATTAACGCTTACAAAATTCTTAAAATCATTTTGAGATGAAATTTATAATATTAAAATATTGAAACAATATTAATTTTTATGTTGGAATTATTTAAAGTTAATAAATCAGATCGCCTAAAGTTCACGCGTTCAGACACAGTACGATAGTACTAAAAGTAAAATCTGATTATTAGTTTTATCAGTATTGATTACATTGATATTAGACAAGATTACATAGAAAAGATAAACTCGCTTTAATATTTGTGCAAACTTTTGCATATAGATAATAACATTTTACTAAAATATTATTAGGAAAGGGAAATATTATATTATATGATATAAAGTATAAACCATGACATTTCGCAAATATGAAACCAGCAACAAATTTTGAAAAGAAATGTCTCTTTTGTTTTTTGAAGAGAAATCTTACCTGACAACTTGCATATATAAAACATAATTTTTTTCATATAATTTTCAGTAAAATGTAATTATATATAAAGATATAAACTATATCTAAAATGTATAAAGTATATATAAAGATGTGTTTGTGTAAATATCACTAAAATCAATTTTATTATCTTTATAATTTTAATTATTATCTATGTAATTTTTATATCAATATTTACAGAAGAAAAGGTAAAATTTTTTTAT